AATTTCTGTTCAGAAATATTTAGTGCTAATTTTTACATCTGTAAAGACCTCCTTTAAGGATTTTAATTCAGACCTAGATTTCTTTCTTCCTTATGATTGAGGGGAGAATTTCATCAGTTTTCACTGTCATTTTAAAATAGCTTTAATGGCCGACCTCTGTCTTTCCCTGTTCATTTTGAAGGACTTTCTTTTCTTGGCATGCAAAAACAGTATCTTGGTAGGGAGGGGTGAGCCTTGTGGGGCTCACTTGTTTTCTCAACTCAGGAATGCGGTCTTCTGGTGACACAGCAAAATAGTACTTCCTTAAAGATGACCTTTTTGAGGTAATAACGTGTCGTAATGATTACAAGTTGGACTGCTAACTGAAAGGTCAACAGTTGGAAATCACTAGTGCACCTTGTGGGAGAAAGGCAAAGCTTTCTACTCCCATATACTGGAAAACCCACAGGTGCAATTCTACCCTGTCCTAAGGCTCTCGTGAGTCAGAATTGACTTGGTACAGTGAGCTGAATTTGGAGTTATGTTTTTTTTCCTGAAGGGTCCTTTCTTTCACTTTACCATCAAGCCTCAGACATATCATCTCCTCTCCCAGAAATGGTAACTTCCTCCAATAACCACCTTTGTTTTTATATTCTTCCCATTTGGTTTCTGGGAGATTTGAAAGAAATTCAGGTTTAGGAAGCTGCCCATAGTCTTTGGATAGCCAGAGAAACCCAAGTACCTCCCTCTTAAGTATAGACAACCAAGAATTACCAGGCAGTTGAGGAAACTTGTAACATAAAGCCAAAAGTTTAAAGTATAAATACTGTATCTAGTAAAAAGGAATAGGCTATATATTAAAATACATAGAAGCAAAAAAATAAAATAAAGTACATAGAAGCAAAAGAGTGCTAGAAAATTAAAATTATGATAGCATACATGTAACAGAAACACTGTAAAATAGATTGTCTAAAGTAAAGCACAAAGCAAGTTGTAACTAAAAATTAAAATAGGATCAAAGCAGTAGGCCCACTGTCTGAATAGCAGGAGTGAAAGAGGGAACAGAAAATTTGAGTGACTGAATTACATCAATTTCCCAGAACTGTAAGCCATGGATTTATAGTTTGAATGCCTAACACAGTAGTTGACATAGGCATATCCCAAGGCGCATTGTAAAATTACAGAGCCTTAGAGTCAAAGAATATCCTGTGAGTCTAGAGAAGAAAAAACATTAGAGACGTGTAGCAACCCCGTGCACAGGAGACTGGAAAGCACAGAGAAAAGGAAGAACAAAACCACTATTAAAGAATTGAAATCATGGCTCAGAGTTTTCAGCATCCACATTCGAATCTAGAAGCTGGGAGGCCCCGACTTCACAGTTAGAGAGAGGGCTTCAAAAAGTTTGTGGAAAATTTTAATTGTCTTTTAATGCTATTTTTACACAACGTTTTTGAAGCCCCTTTGTACTAAAGGGAAATTATTTTCAAAGTAGAATTCTCTATTCAGCCACGCTATCAATTGTGAAGGTAAAATGCAGACATTGGTTCCAAAAAATTTATTACCCACACATTGTTTTGCAGGAAGTATTGGAGGAAGTACTGCACCAAGATAAGGAAGTAAAATGATAAAGAGGAAGACACAGGACCCAGGAAACAGGAGCTCCAACACCGAACGTAGTAAAGAGGATCCCTTAACACTGGTGAGGTGGTGTTCAGGGGAGTCAGTGTGCCCGCCAAAAAGAACAGAATGGAGATGAGAAAGTCACAGGCGAATGAAAAGTCCAAGGATTAACTTTAAAGGGGAAAAGTATGTTGTGGAAGAAAATAAAATGATAGTTTATGTCTCAGCTATGAATTAGCATAGTCACAATAGGTCCAAATTACAACATAATTCTAATACCAGGCTATCAGGGGATAGGAGTGTGGTTGTATATGTGTGGTAGGAAAGGTGGAGGAGAGCTGGAGAGAAACAGTCTCATCTTCCAAGTGAAGAAATTAAACTATGTGGGACATAAATGATGGGCATGATTATGAAAATTGGGAATACCAGAGCATTGTGCTCATGCAGAATCTATATAGACCAAGAGGCGGTCATTCAAATTGAACAAGAGGATGCTACATGGTTTAAAATCAGGAAAGGTTGTCAGAGTTGTTTGGTGGTGTAGTGGGTTGTGCATTGGGCTAATGGTGAGGTTAGCAGTTCAAAACCACCAGTCTCACCGTGAGAGAAAGATGATGCTTACTACTCCCATGAAGAGTTATGGTCTCTGAAACCCACAAGGGCAAGTCTACTCTGACCTATAGGGTCACTATGAGTAAGACTGCTCGATGGCAGTGATTTTGATTTTGTTTTAATCTTTAGCCTGAGAAATAATTGGAGAAGCTGGATTGTGCGAAGAACACTGCATGGTAGGGGGGGAGGCAGCATTTAAGAACTGGAGGAAAATTGCATATCACTAACCACATACAGTATCAGGATATTACAACCTGTGAAAAGGACTTGAAGCACTTATTGATGAAGATCAAAGGCTACGAGCTTCAATATGGATTACATCTCACTATAAAACAAAAATCCTCAAACCTGGCTAATAAGATCATGATAAAGAGATATAAAAATTGAAGTCAAGGATTTCATTTTATTTGGATTCATTATCAACGCCCATGGAAGCGGCCGTCAGAAAATCAAAAGACATATCGGGCAAATTTGCTGTACAAAAATTGCTTTAGCTTGAAGACAAACAGATGGCCATCTAGCTAAGAAACAACAAAACCCACAAGGAAGAAGCACACCAGCTTACCCTGACATGAATGCTGAAGACAAAGCGGGTACATAAGCAAATGCAGTGAAGAAAGCCGATGGAGCCAAGCTGTCAAATTACATAGAATCTGGGGTCCCACATGCTGGAAGATAAACAAGGAGCCATCTAACTGAGAAACAACAAAGCCCACATGGAAGAAGCACACCAGCCTGTAAAATGACAAGGCGTCGAAGGGATCAGGTATCAGGCATCAAAGACCAAAAAAAAAACAAAAAAACCCAGAGAAAAACATAACATTGTGAATGAGGGGAAGTGCAGAGTGGGGACCCAGGGCCCATCCAGGGGAAACTGGACATCCTCTTGCAGAAGGGCTGCAGGGAGATGAGCCAATCAGAGTGCAGTTTAGCAACGATGAAATATGCAATTTCCCTCTAGTTCTTAAATGCTTCCTCCCCCCACTACCATGATCCCAATTCTACCTTAAATATCTGGCTGCACTGGAGGATGTACACTGGCACAGATAGGAACTGGAAATACAGTGAACCCAGGACAGATGAACCCCCCAGGACCAGTGGAGAGAGTGGCAATATTGGGAGGGTGGAGGGAAGGTGAGGGAGAAAGGGGGAACAGATTACAAGTTCTACATATGGCCTCCTCCCTGGGAGATGGACAGCGGAGAAGTGGATGAGGTAGACGTCGGATGGTGTAAGATATGATAAAATGATAATTTATAAGTTATCAAGGGTTTGGGGGGGGACGAGGAGGGAGGGGGGAATGAGGAGCTGACACCAAGGGCTCAAGTGGAAAGCAGGTGTGAGAATAATGAAGTCAACATATGTACTAATGTGCTGGACACAAATGCCGTATGTACGGATTGTGATGAGTTGTATGAGCCCCTAATAAAATTATTTTAAAATTTGCTTAGAAGTTTTAAATAAGTAAAGCTGTCACTTTGAAAACTAAAACTAAAGAACTGATGGCTGAGTTGTGGTACTGGCAAAGGAAATTAAACACTATTATGAAGAACCAACAAAGCTGTGTTGAAAGTACAGTTAAAACGTTCCTAAGAAGTGAGGATGCTGAGACTTTACCTTGCCTAGTCTGGACATGCTAATTAGGAGGGAGGGATCCTTGGAGAAGGTCAACAACATTGGTTGTGTAGAAGATCGGTAAAAAAAGAGAGACCCCTAACAAGATCATTTGGCACAGTGGCTACAGTAATGGGCACAGACAAAATGATTACTGAAGATGGTGCAGGACTGGGCAGTGTTTTGTTGCAGGGGCACTTTGATTTGATGGCACATAACAATACCCCCTCCCCCCCAAATCAAGTCTGACAATATATTAGCTCTATCTAATGAGGTTAAATACTCAATGAACCACTTAACGTTCAAATATGTCTTCTCAGAAAAACAAGGGGGCTTCAAAGAGTTTGTGGAAAAACTTCAGTTTAAATTCCACTTTCTCACGAATTTTGTGCAGTGTTCTTACTTAACCAACCCTATCAAACAAATTAATTTAGTTACATATGTGTATAACTTTTATTCAAACAAAAATAGCTATGTGAACTTAATCAAGTATCCTGTTTTAATTATAAATGATGATAAAACAAGTTCTGCTTGCTTTGTATGTCTGATTTATAAAAGAGTGATTTTGTAGTGCACTGTAGGAATATAATACTTTGTTGTATGCCGATTGCCTCCTTTCACAGCAGAGAAGTGATATAGATATACTCAACATCTGTGAATATTAAAGTGACTGTTAAAATCAAAGCACGAGGCCAGGATCCAAATGTTGGGAACGCCACTCAGAGACCGTCTAGCTGCCCCCAGGATGTTGCTAAAGTTGTTGGAGAGCTATGATATTTTTTTGGTCTCTTCCCCTCATTATCACTTACAAAAAATAACACCTGGTGCCCTACACTACACTAGAGATGGTGGTAGAAAAGCACATTATCTGGTAAAAGGGCCTGCTAAGAAAGCTAATCATCTGATAAAGAAAATGCAACTGGAAGTAACAATTATATGTTTTCAGGAACATTTAGACATCTTTTTAATTAGATTGTCTTTACAAGAAATTTGAAAGCTGTTTCATAATGAAACAGTTTTTCAAATGTTATAACTTTAAGCTATCTGTGTGAGAGTCCTGAAATTCTTCTCCCACTATGAATAAAGGTATGCGTTTTATAGTTAGTTAATGTGTTGAATATAAACAGCATCATGAAGCTTTGTCTTTAACCAGGATTTAACACATATAGGCCACAAGAAGTTTAAATTTTTATTTAAATAGAGTCCTGCCTTGGGACAAAGTAACAGTCACACTAACATGAGATTAATGTTTTCCATGGATATTAAAGAAATGTCTACTCTCATTTTATGACCTATTCATAATGATTTCTAAAAAATTGTATATTTAAACATTTTTTTAATTTACTTTTAAAAATTAAAAAAATGTTAAAGTACACCATTTTAGACCTGTCTGGCAAGCATAACCCACAGACAGTAGAATCTGATAACATGCACTACTGCAGAAGTACACATCTGAATAAAACGGGGACTTCCAAATTAAAAGGCTGTTGCTGTTCAACTTTTAGATCAAACAAACCTGCTATCAACGTAATGCAATTTCTCCTAATTCTAACAATGGCAGCACTTCAAGTTGTGGCCTAAGGCTATGCACTGCACTTTGCTGACCAGATACAAAAACAACTTCCACTTCTGGGACCAGGCTGGAAAGAGGCACTTACTGCAGAGATGGTTCAGTGGTATCCTCTGGAGCGAAGAAGGAGTGGAGCACAATGAATGCAGGCAAGGAAAACAACAGTTGACTATAATTTTCTCCTGCAAGTTCATATAATAAAGTGGGATCACAATACTGACAATTTAATCCTATCCTAAGTCTACCCAATCAGTTTCACAAAACATTTTTTTTCATGTTTTACATGAACAATAGCAATCTTTTAATAAAAATTACTGAGCTTTCCATAGAAAAGGTCTCTTAACTGATTACAAACTATACAGGTGCTAAAACTGTAAATTGAAATATACAGAAATATATCTGTACAGTCACATTATTTTGGCAAAAATGATCAAGGACAGAAATAGAAAACTCATGTGGGTAAGGTCTTATATACATAATTCATGTAAAATATGGTATTGTCATATTTTGGTAAATATGAACAATTTGGCTTTGCTAACGAGCTTAGGAAATTGAAATAAAAAACAACCAACCCAATTTCAAAACAGAAGTCTGGGAATGCTAGAGATTTTTTAATATTCCTTCTTACGAAAAGTATAAAAGAAAACCCTTAATAGACAAAAATAAAATTATCTGGTGTTTCTTTTTTGATTTTTTTTAATAACTAAATGTACATATTTTAATGCTGATGAAAGGCCAGCATTCACCCGAGGGGGCTGCCTCAAGAGCAGTCTGAGGAGTGAGTTAAACCAAGTCTACAGAACACATTTCAGTTTCAATGCACATGGAATCTCCCCTTGAGACTATTCAATAGAAACAGGGTTCTGATCAGTAGATCAGCTGGGTCATCATATTAAGAAAGAAAGCAATAGCAAATTTGGAAGAAAAAGCAACTTGGAGGGAAGCAAAAGGGTTAAGTTTTATTTAGAAAAAAGAACATTAGCTCCTACATCTGTAGGATATACCTGAAAGTATAAGAAAGCCCTTTATTCTTAGGAACTTGACTCTAAGACTAACTTCAAGTTCATTTAATGCCAGTCACTTAAAAATTGTTTTTAATCTTTAACTTAAGATAAACTATAATTTCTTTTAAACACAAGCTAAATGTTATTGGTAGTAAATGTTGATCTTTACCATTACGTTTCATTATAACAATGCCCCCCCAAAAGCCATCCTTGAGAGCCCAAATTAATGTAAGATAAGACTACAAATCAACCTGCGTGCACAGTCGGTGAAGTGCTCCTTTTCTTGCTTTATGTATAAAGAAAATAAGTCACTGGCAACAACCATTATAAGAAGTGTATGAGGGCAAATTTTAATATGAAGTTTACAAAAATAGACCAATGCTATTTTGGGAAATAATACTGTAATTTTTTTCAATTGCTTTTTGATAAATTGTACCTGATCATACAAAAATTACCCAAAATTTAGACTTGACTATGTAAAAAAAGGAAGAGATGAAATTAATTCAGCTATATGTCAGATCTGGCGAAATATAAGAGTGGAAATACTTCTACGCAGGGCACTTATTTCATGTCCAGATGAAAGTATCACTTTCAATTGGTAGTTTATACTCTTTCCATAGGCAATCAGAGATTTGGAGTCAGTCGTGCAGTACAAAGCCACAGCAGCCAACGTCTTCTTTTTGATGCAACACAAATAAAAGTTGTTTCTTTTTCTGTATTGAAATGCCAACCGGTTTTCTGTTTTTCTTTAATCCATTTATTTGTATTCACAAGTTAACAAATAGCATCAACAATTATTGTAGGTGAAGTGGGGCATTGCTGGATCAAAGGCTCTATAAAACGTATTTACTGATTGAATCAGAAGGTTTATTGAGTTCAACCTTTACACCTTTTTCACCTGCAGGGGAAAACAAAAAACAATTCATTCATTAAGCACCAAAGAACTTCAGCTAAGCTTTGCTTCTACTTCCTAACCCCACGAGCAGTATTGCAATCTTGCAAATAATCATGAAAACAACCACATTTGCACTTCTAAGTGCTACTTACTACTCTCAGCATTCTATTATAAAAAATGAATGATTATTAGTAAATGGTCAAAGCTGAAAACCATTCTCTACACAGAAAATAAAGTAGCCCTGGTGGCACAGTTAAGTACAGTGAACTCAATTTGTACCAAATTCATGTTTGAACACCAAAAAGTTTGAGAACTGAATGCATTTTCATAAGAAATAATGGACAACCAAATAACTGGTCCTGAGGCCCCAAAATTATACTTGTAAATCCATTTTTTCCAAAATTATACTTATAAATCCATTTATTTAAATTACTACAGAGCTTTTCACCTTCTCCCACATCTGGTCGGGATCCACTATCACCAGAGTCGTTTCTGCTTTACCCAAACTACCAGAGCCGTTCCGACCTCGCTGATGGTCTGCGTGCATTGTTTCACACCTAATGACTCCACACTTTTCACTGGATTAGCCGCTTTAATCACATTGTTTCCTCGTGTGTATTCACCCACCAAATCAGACAAGCGATGCCGCAATTCAAATTTCGCATTGATTTCTTTAACTTTTTTGGTGGTTTTCCTGTTGGCTTTGCTGCTGCTATCACGAACTTTCTTTGGAGCTGCGATTAGATTATGACATTTTATACAAATAAAGTGCCCCAAAGAGGACAGTGATGAATGCCGTAACTCAGTAACAAGCAGCACTGTATTACTGTCTGAGCCAGAGCGGCGCTGGCAGTGAGGCGGCATCCTTGGGTGGCTGGCCACATGTGGCACGTGACTCACTCTCGGTGGTACACATTTTTCAGGTAGGATTTTTGATTCGACTATCTAGTAAAGGTATGAACACTGCGCTGATTTTTTTTTGTTCGAACTTTGCCGTTCGCGTGGTGCAATGTTTGCACTTGGAGCCATTTGACAAGTAAGGTGTCACTGTACTTGGCTGATAACGTGATTTGAACCAACAGCCATTCTGTGGGGGAAAAGAGGAGGCTTTCTGTGTCCGTAAAGATTTACAGCTTCAGAAAGCCTATGGGGCGTTTCTACACTGTCCTACAAGGCCACTAAGAGCAGGAATCAACTTGATGGCAATGGGTTTACAATGGGAAATTATTGTCATTCTTTATTTTAAGATAAATTTGGATTACTGTAAAACACTAAAGTGCATCACTGAAACAAAGAAATAACAAATAATATGCATATTTTATAAAAGGTTCATGTAGGATTCTCAATAGCTTGTGGAAATACAACTAGCTAACCAATGAGAAAATTAAGCAGACTTTCGGAGACATAAGGTGGGGTTAAAGAAAAGACAGGTTAAGTGCTCTACCTGATGAAAAACAGTAACTCCCTGGGGGTCTAGGAGAAACACTATATAACTTGCAGGAAGTGAATACTGATATAGTAAAGGATCCAGCAGATCTTGAATTGGATCTACATGGTTGATTTCAGTATCTCAGTAATATTTGTATCCATTTCTTTCATGTCTGTATTCAACATGGAAGCCTTAACACACTCCATTTCAAGTATACAGTATACGCTTTTTTTAGAACAACAAAGATATTAATTTCCTTCCAAGGAGAGAACACGAGAAAGTCTGATGGGGATTACCAAGAATTAAGCAGCCCTGTGATTGAAAAGAATAGTCACAGTATTGTTTATATCTCCACAGGAAAAAAGGGACCAAACTTCAACCCAGTGCTCCAAGGTGTGAAGACAACATGCC